CAAAAGAAAACTGAGCTTGCTCTGCCTAGAAATGTTCCATCTCCAAGTTGTGGCTGCATTTGCTTAAGTTGGGAGCCACCAGTAATGCCAAGCATCTTCATTCACCCCAAATCCAGGATGTTTAGTCCTCCTGTGAGCAAGAGCCCCAATGGTTGAGACACACTCATCTTTGCATGATATAGAATCACAGAATGTGTTGGGCTGGAAGGGACCTCTAAAGGTCATCTAGTCCAACTGCCTTCTGTGAGCAGGGACATCTTTAACTAGATCAGGTTGCTAAGAGCTCGGTTAAGCCTGACCCTGAAGGTCTCCGGGGAGGGAGCTTGCACCTGGTTGCAATTCTCGTCCAGCAAAAAAGAAGTTTGGAACCTGGGTTGGACCCAGCCTGGACTCATATATTGGAGGCTGTGGCACACAGAGAGCAAAGTCCCCCCACTCAGCTACACTACATTTAAGAATTTTACAAAATAGGAATTTTAACATAGCAGTCAGGACACTCAGTTGAACAGGGCAGTTCCTGTGAACTGCATGCATTTTACTTCAGATCATGCCTAGTTAAAAAGTGGAAGCTGCTCTGGCAGCAGTCAGCAGAACAGATCTCACCTCTGTCACAGCGGTCACCCTAACCAGCATCGTAAAACCAACTTCTCCATGGGAAGCTTGCAAAAGGTTCTTCGTTTAATACCTTCCATTGACTCACTTCTGCCCTTCTCCAGTCATGTCACAGCAGGGCTCAAGTCAGCCCAATGCTCTTCTGAAGACTACCTCCTGATGGTTTGAGCTGGCATTTGAGCCTTACAGCCAGAGATGCCTGCTTGCCATATTGAGTCTGTATTTTTCAGGTCAATGTCAAATAACTTATAAAGGACAGTATTTATTACTTCTAGAGGTTTCTTTAGATAGAAATGTTCACAGACAGGAACCAAAGAAAGAGTATATGCAGGACCATCATTGTGAACATCTGTGACATAGCCTGGGCTTCCATTTTCAACGGCTCGTGAAGATAGTACGCTTAAATACAGACCCGGAAACAAGCTCTCGCTTACAACAACTTCTGTAGCTTCGTATCCATAATAACTTATTATATGAAGCCATTTTTTCCAGTTCAAAAGGAAATACAGTCCCCATGAATGTCTACCTATGTGCTTAAAATCCAGTGTTTTCTGCCTCCAGGTACGTGCTTGTTAACCTTAAAGTTTCCCACATCTGTGCTCATGAGTATGGACCAGCAAATCCCAGATAGACTTCTGAGTGGCACAAATGAAAGGGTGGCTATTATTTGATTTGTCAGTGTTTTTTCAGTTGCCATATCAGATGTCTAAGAGTATTGAGAAGAAATAAAGGCCTTGGACACACATGCATAGTAGCCTATGCCTACAACAGAATAGCTCCAAGTAACACCAATTAGCCTGGGACTGTGGAAACACTTCATGGTAAACACAAGTCTAAACAAAGTATCAGATGCCTTCTCAGCTTCTGAGTCAAGTCAGAGTATGTTTTATACGCAATTTGAAAAAAAAAAAGCATAATATTTAGGCAACATATAACCACAAATGAAGGGACATGAAGGTAATGTTAACTATTAGAACGTTATGTCATTATCTGGTGGCATATGTTACCAATGGATATGCATTAAAACTGTCCAAGTTCATCGAATAGCTTAAAGTTTTAAAACAGCAAACTGAGAGATTTTGAAACTCAAAAAGCTATCTCTGCTGGATAGTATTTTTGACATTTGTCATTTATCTTGCTTCTGACAAGCAAGAGAAGTTGGATACAAACCCCGAAATCTAACAGCTTCATTTAACTAGAAAGCATAATTGATGTTACTTATAAAAATAAGCAAAACTAGACTTAACTTTTCTACCATGAGGGAATATCCTATTTTGTCTAACAGTTTTAATGGCCTGTCTGTTCCTAGTCAGAAGAACTAATCTAGTTAAAGGTGTTTAGATAAGTTAATCTGACAGCAAACAAAGGCTGGGTTGGAATAACTCCCTGAACCGGGAGCACAGTCCAAGAGTCTGTGTGTATTAGGAGGAGGGACAACAGTCAAAATGCTCTGCAGACTACTCCTGCGGTGCAGGGGAACTGGCTCTGGAAAGAAAGCCAGCTCTCCTAAGGAAGGCTGATAAGCACAGGGGCAGACCCTTGCTGGTCAACAGATGACGGAAGAAGTGCTAGGAGACAATTTGCCATGGGTCTTGTAGAGCTTGCAGAACAATTGCCACCCCCACTAAACTCTACATGGGCCCAAAAAGGCCTTTTAACTGCCTCGAGCCCTAATGGAACAAACTGGGCTGCTGTCACCCTTCTCCATGTTATCTGGCTTGTTCTCACTAGCGCAACTCCTCACACTTGCTTCCAATGTAATGTGGCTGCCTCAAACGATGCTTCAGTCAGCCAACAGGACGGCTCATACGGCTTGTAACATTGACCTTTGGAAGAGGAGGCAGGTCTCCCATGAAGGCTGTAAAAATGTAGTGAAGCTATGCAGAGAAAATTAGGAGAGCCAAAGCGCAGGTAGTTTCCAACACGAAAAGCTCACACACACAAGAACTCTACACACCAGCCAGATATCAGCGTGCCTTAAACCTACCTTGCTGACTTACCTCTTGTCAGGCTGCTTCTCCAGAGGATGAAGCTCAAGTACATGGAGGAAGGAGCCAATAAGTACAGCAGCCAGAGCACAAAGTGGGGGGAAATGGGAGGATCTTCGGCCACGGTGAAAGGGAACAGTGCTGAACGTTAACAAGAATTAACTTACCTTTCTGTCTTCAGAAGCAGCTGATGTAATGCAAAAGCTCACTGCAGCAGGAGGACTCATTTCTTCCCATCGCCACTCCTGGCCCTGCCTTTTTCTCTTACCAGATCTGATACTGTCGGCCTCCCTCCAGTTCTCCACTATGAGCCAAACCTGTCACTGAAGTGAGCTGGACTGCCCCACAGAAGAGCCCAGGCGGCATCAGAACCATTGCAAATATGGGCGGTAATAGAGGCAATGAGCCAAATGGCAGGAGGAAGAGGGGGCTGGCAGGGGCACCCCAACCATTGGAGCATGGTATTGCAGCAAACCACCTGTGCCTTAGGAAGTCACACTTTAAAATCCTGGAGAGTAAGAAAAGAGGGTATTTTGCAGAGAAAACAGAAACAATCTGCTATCTGACCACACATGCCAACAGCATAGCAACAGTTGTTCAAAGGTCTCTTCCTTGCCAGTTTTTGAATTTGAGCCTTTTCAAGTTTATTTTAAGCATAAGGTGTAACAGCAACAAGACTCCAGAACACTGTGAGAAAAACCCAGCATCCAAACCAGGGAATTACTTAAGAAAAAAGATACAAAATGTCAAAGGTAGTTTTGGCAAAGTCCTAGGAAAAGAGAAGAGAGCACAGTATGAAAATCTAACACACCATTTTATTTTTATTTTCAGTCATGTATAGTAAGTACACAAAAGGATGCACCAGCATTTTTGTTCATCTTAAGTATATGAAATGGTGGGGAAAGTAGATACATGGCATGAGTGAGGTCAGAAGTATAGAGACTGGTTCAAAATATTTCAAAATGTCATGCTAACAGGGTATTAACGGAAGCTTCTCAAGCCATCAGGAACCAAGGCTTGATTAGTATCAGAGCTAAAATCCACACTACACACAAGTTTGACATGGACCAAGAAAAGTAGTTTTCCCCGCGTCTAATACATTCTGGAATTTCAGCCGTGAAGGCTACAAGAGAGCTCACATAATACCATTTTTTTCTCCGACTTTGACCGTGTTAATTGACTAAACAAAATTCTAGGCAGTGCAAACTGCCTCATTGCTTTGTCGTGCTAACTCTATTTTTAGAAAGAGTTTTAATAAGGCTGAAAGGCAGCGGCATTTGAGATATTAAAAACCAGTCTAGCACCAAGCAACTCCCAAAGTCTAATTCCATAACTGCCCTTTGGTGGATGCATTTAGGGGAGCAGAAAAGAGAGAAGATCACAGTATCCTGAAATGAAAGTCACAAATGCCTGACACCCTGGATGAGTTAAAACCTTCGTTTCCTGAAGCTACACACATAGTTGAGATGTGAATTAAGACCAATAATTTCAAAGACAATGTTCTCCTTGTTAAATGATTTATGGAAACTTCACAGTCCAACATATCAGGGACTATATATTATCAGGGTACTTTTGAAAATCAGTCACCTTAAACAGTACATTGCCTCCTTCATGCTGCCAAGAGTTCAAGAGCATATATGTTCAGTGCAGCACTGCACTTCAGGAGTATTTTTAAGTGCCTTAAAGAGAAAAACCTCTTCTACAGCTCTCGTCAGCTGTGCTATGCTAATGAATTCTCCTCATCTCCCTCACAACAGATACATGGTGAAATGTTATGCCAAAAGAAGGGGCTCATTTACATAACTCACCAAAGTGATCCAGGAATTAGATTTTTTGCAGTGCTTTGAAGGCATGGCAAACTGAGGTTGGAAGTTTTCCCAGGCTTAAACATATATCTTATCGTTATCTTTCTGCAGCACTTGCAGAGGTTCTTAGCTGGTCTAATTCCGATCCTTCTGAAATCAGTGAAAACTACTTCCTGGGGATCACCAAAGCCAACACTAAATGCCTTGACAAAGCTGTGCACTAAGTGTACAAAAATCTCAACTTCACTCTCAGCCAGATTCAGTTCCCCATCACCTGTAAGCAAGAGATAGCCATTGTAAAAAAAAACCAAACAAAAAATTTGTACATGTATTCAATCTCGCATCCTTGCCTTCTGTAAAGCAATCCAGATTTGGTAAACTAAATGCATATTCTAATTCTGAGATGTTGCATTTTAAATATATTAAGAGCGTAACAAACTGAAATTACAATGAAGAAAAATAATGTGATCTCATTTTACCACCGATTATTTACTGTTTTAGAATTCTGGAGAGTGTTACACACAGAATTAGAGAGCATTTAGTTTTTGGACTAAATTTCTTGGCCTAGCAAAGTGAAAACTGATGTTTGCAATTTCTACGCAGGTACTTCTACAACTTCAAAATAGTCATTCGGCAGAATCACATAGCCTTTTCCTGCTAATATGTCTTTTTCTTTCTGAAACTGAACGATCTCTCTCAGTTTTTCAATTTGTCTTTCCTGACGCCGGCATCGCTGTTGTGCTGTCTTGAGCTTCTTCCTCAGTTTTTCCACTTGTTCCTCTAGCTGCTGAATTCTTTTCCGTTGATGAACTGTATCCTCTACAGTATAGTTGTGATCACAAAAAACAGCCAGATTGCTAGGGGTCTGGAGAGGAGGCATCAATAATCCAATACTTGGATCTACAAATCTGGCATCTATTTGAGACAAATGAAAAGAAGGAGCTGCTGGAGACGGCAGCAGTACTGGAGCTGCTGGTGGTGGTGGTGGTGGAGGTGGTGGTGGCGGTGGTGGAGGAGGTGGTAGTGGATCTTCCGGCTGTTCTGCAAATTCTTCAGTCTAGGAACAAGAAGAAAGGTACAATTTCATGCTTCACATAATTTACAACATAACTCCCTTACTACAGTCCCTGAATAACATAAACAAACAGGACTGAAATTAATAAAATAAATTTCAAAGCCTACATTTTCAAAATCAACAAACAGTTCAGGGCCTGTTTTGTCTGGCTACTCAAATGGAGATATTTTTAAGCAGCTTCATTTTCAGGGCATTTTGATACTCAAGTCCTTGACATCTCAGATAAATCGAAAACTGAGGAACATAATTATACTCACTTGAAGACAGGTCAAATACATATCCACAGTTAGTTAAGAAGCAAGAACACAGGGTGCAGTTCCACAAAACAGAGTTCAGCTGACCTAATAACTCATCATTAGGAATGCTATTCCATTCTTTTTGTCCCTCTTTTTTTCTGCTGTATTATAACATCATATACTTTGAAACTATCAGCTAACCCAATTAAAAAAAAAAAAAAACAGCAGAGGCAAATAATCTTCTGCTGAGACAGAATATGGATGACCTACTGAGGGGGCTGATGAGCTGTCAGAGCAGAGAGGTAGACACAGCAAGGCCTTCCTGGGAACAACTGGAAGGGACTGTGTCACTGGGTTTGGGCTGCAGCATAAGGGTTTGGTTTCAAGAGACACGATGAGTCAAAATAAACAGCTCTTCAACAGCAAAGCATCACTCCCAGCCCTGGTATTTACCTTTTGCTCAGACATAGTAAGTTGTTAAGATGATAGAAAGCTATTCACTCTCCCACCATCACTGCAAGAATCTTCTGTCCTTCATCAAAAGCCAAAGCAACGCAACACAAGGTATGACCTACACCTTCACTGGTGTGTGGAAGGAGCAAGACAGAGGACTGCATGCAGCCTGCATGGCTGGCAGGTGGGATAGAGAAGGGAGAAGCACGATTCTCCCCTTTGGCAGCAGCAGGATATCTATTGGCTCAACTCCACATGAAGCTGAAGCCTTTATTATACTGCTCTTAATAGGTTCACTGGTACAGTTCAGGACAACGCAGACCCCTTACCACTTGAGTACAGGCCAGAGCAAAGAATCAGATTCTCTCTGCCTCAAGGGAATGCAGCATAATTCAGAAATGCTTCTGCACACATGATGATTAAAAAAAACCCCATTGTTTAAACAAAAGAGCTTGCATATTACCTGTTCCAAAAGAAAGCCTAAGACACTCTCAGGGAAAGA